AATAAGAAAAGGCTTTCAAATTTCTGAATATTGATTTTTTTAACATGAAAAGAAAATTTAAAAAAATTTCATATTTCCTAAAAAAATTATATTAAATTTATTTTTTTTTAATCTTCATTAGTTTGGTTAATTTAAATTATGTTTTGAATATTTTATTTCGATCAAGATTATTGTGAGATATATGTATGTATTTGCCTTTAAAAATTAATTTTTGAGACAATAAAAATTTTGTTTTTTCCTAAAAATTGATGCACGTTTTATGTAAAAATTATAAAATTTTATTATTTTAAATTTTTTGTTAAGTGCAAATTAAATTTTTAATTTTTTAAAATATTTTTTTAAAAATATTTTTGTTAACAAATTTTTTATATCAAATTTTTTTAAATAAAATTTTTTTGTCAATCCAATATTTATAATTTTCTCAAATTTTGTTTTTAATATAATTTCACTTCAACTTTAGAACTTCATTAGACTAGTATGCGCTGCCACCCTACTCCACCGCCACAGCTTGGCGCTCATTAATCAGCCGCCGTAGAAAAGCATAAATGATTGATAGCTCTTAGAGCCAATTGGTGGCACATTGTATGCGGCATGGAAGCCATTTTGTGGTGCCACCAACAGCTGCAGCCGGTTACATGCTTATGCTAGTACCTGCAACAGCAGGAAATTGCTCGTTTTGTGCAACAAAATGTGATTAATTGCAGCTGAATAAATGAAGCAAGAAAGTGGCTGTGAAAAAAACTAAAATGTACTTAATTAATGATGAGTTTTCGCTTTGAATTTCTTTCGAACTAAGAGAAAATAGTTGTGGCCTTTAATGATGGCTTGAAATGCAGTTTAATTGCTTGTCAAAATTTTAATAAACTGGCGGTGGCTGGCGTGTGAGTAATGGGTGAAGACAGACACAAAAAATCACACCTCTTTGCCTGCAACTAAGTGGAAAAAACTGAATTTTTTTAAATATTTTTTTAACTTTTTTATTGTTTTTTGAGAAGAGAAATTTTTTTGTTTAATTTCAGTTGTTATTAATTATTACTACTCAAAATACTTGGCCGCAAGCATTTTCTTCTGGAAATTCATCAAAAATTCAACCGCTCTTAGCTGCTCTTAAAATCACGCAGCAGCATCAAAAAGCTTTTAGCATAACTATTAAACAGCAACTGCTATGAAAAAGTGTTCTAGAGACCGCAAAGTAGCACCTTTAGGCACAGAAGTCGCTGCAGCAGCCAATTAAAGACGTGATTCTTGCTTTCTACGCCAAAAGCCGCCGGCTGCCGAGCTACAAGCTTTCAGTTGTTGCTCAACATTGTTTGCAATGCGTGTGGCTGTGTGTGTGTGTGGTGGCAGAGTGCATGTTGCATGTTGAGTAACTGCATCGGCAAGCCGTTATGCGGCCTTATTATGCGTAAATGGCTGTGAGAATGTCAGCTAGTGATTGTCGGACTGTTGTAGTGTGGATCTTTACTGTTTATAGCAATAAGAGCAACAGATACTTCATTTGCAACATGCAACAACTCTTTCAGAAAAATATTTATGTTGGCATATACTTTGAGAAATGTTTTGCGATTGCATAAAGTGGAAGTGTTGAGGTAACAAATAAGCAAAAAGAAAAAATAAATAAAAATAAAAACTCGGATAAAAAATTGCAATAATTTGTGCACACAGGCGATTTCTTAATTCGTTGCATACTTTTGGGTGCCATTTTTTTTAACAAACTAATAATTTTTATACATATTCGCAACTTAGTTTGAGTCATTTTACAAAAATAATAACTTAAATACTACCGTAATTTTACATACATTTTAAAATAAATTTGTCAAAAAAAAAATAGCGCCTAAAGGCATGCTTTATTAGTTATGCATAAAAATGAGCCTCGATATTGAGTTTGAAGTTTGTAAAGCGTTCGTTAAAGCTGCAATTGAAGTTAAAAACTCACATAATACTATATAACATATATGTACATAGTATATTAGATATTTAGATTTCAAATTTATGAGTTTAGGTTTTAAAAAATGTAGGTCGAGTTTACATATTGTCCTCGAATTGAGCTATATTATTGTTATGCGTACAATATATGCTTCAGCCAAAAAGCCGCCTTTGAAGTGGTTGCGATTGTAAACTGTTCTATAAAATAACCTAATCTCTGCCAAAAGCTAGGTAATCAACTTAAATATTTTTAAAAATAAATTTAAATGCGCTTATAGTTGAAAATAGCCTTTAAAAAGTGCCTATATGGTAGTATAAGGTCATTTCTACGTCTCCGCGCCTAAAAGTGTGCTACCCAAATTTCTTTAATTACATTTATTATTTTCATAGCTTTAAATTATTTTCAACTTTTAACTAGACTGCTTTATACTGCTAATACCGCAGAATATATTATATCTAAAGATATACACCTCAAGTCAGCTAAACTCTCGTCATATGAGTTTTTATTACTCATGGTACCATTATTGTATCGCAAGCAGGAGCCTAAGGTGGTTGCATTATTTCGTCCGTTAAAGGTTTTAAAATTTTCGGGATTTCAAATAAAGTTTTCGGGATCCTGATTATTTTTTTAAAATCTAATAGTTTTCACTCTTTTAATACTTAACTTGTAATAAATTATAAATATTTTTGAAAATCAAGAAATTAGGAAGATTTTGCCGATATAAATGAAAAAATGTGTGAATATTTGATGTATAACTCTTTAATATAGTATGTATGTGTGTACATATGCACTTTCAGCTTTTCATATAGTAAATTTGTATATAACTATACTTTTATTATTTTTGGCTGCAATGTTTAGAAGTTTGTAAGTGTTACCGATTATTGGAGAAAAATTTCATATAAAAAGTTTTTCGGGATTTTCAGTTTTTCAGTTTTCAAAATTAGGGATTTAGTATATATTGCATTCAAAGTTTCGTAGATTGCGGTAAGACATTTTTAAAATTCATATACAAACTATTTCGGGATTTTCCGTTTTCGGGATTCGGGATTTATTGTATATTTTTTGTAGGCGTTTTTAAAACGCTGAGAGACAGTTTTAAAATGCTTTTATCACAATTTAGTTAATTTAAAATTTCGGGATCCCGAGTCCCAAGCAGTAATATTATATTTCCTGAAAATGTCCTAAGGCTGCACTAAAAGTCTTCCTGTTATTAAAATATTTTCGGAGCGTTTTCTTTTCATTTTTAGCGGTATACATTTATTTTCACCTGTGGTATACGGAATTTGAAATTCATTACAGTCTACTTATTACCAGCTGCCACAGTTTGTATTTCTACAATTTCAATATTTCACGTTAAACCATTACACGCAATTACTTGCTACATTCACTTAGCGACTTGCCACTCTTTTTATCACTTCTCGGTCCACCGGCATGCTTCAGTAAAAATCCACCTTTCACATGTGCAACATTTTTGCACTCGTGCAATTTCAGTTAGAATACACTTACAATGCAATTGCAAAATTTCTCCATGTATCAGCGCTCACCTGTCACATCGCTATTATGACCAAAACAATGGCAACAACACTATAATTTCTTACATACAATTTACATCCTCTTGACCCACTTTTACGCAGAGTTGCATTTGCAACAGCTGTCAACAGCCTTCCTAGCTCGCGCATGGCAAGCAGCTGTGACTTATCACTCGATACACACGTACGCACACACACATATGGAAAATTTGCATAAGTTCCCCACTAGAGGCACGTGCCGCAGACCGCAGCGCTTAAGTGCTGGCGTGATGTGCCGCTGCTAATGACACTTGTGACACTTGTATGCAACACAACTACCGTGCGTAACAACAATAAGCGAAAAGAAAAACATGGCGAACAAAGTGCGCTTGCCGCCGCGCTGACATATTGCCACATTAGTTGATGATGGTCATGCCACAATGGGCGCTGCAGGCAGCATTAAATATGGTGCGTCGTGCCACATGCAACTCACTGCCTTTGTCTATGACCAGCGGTTGCGCTTAGCCTATTTTGAACGTCTTTAGCTTGTGCAGCTGTCATTCAAACGATAGGCGTCTAACAACAGCAAGCCTAAGTAACAACAATAACAACTAACACTTAAATAGTGGCGTACAAGTGACCCAGTGTGCGCTTTTGGTGCGTCACCACCGCGTTGCAAGCTACAATTGTCTGGTAACGGCTACGCCGCTAAGCCAACTTGGCTGTTTTTGTTGTAGTGAGTAGCAAAAATGCCGCTATAGCACTTTTATGCATGAATTGCTAGGCATTTTTTGTCTCATTTACCATTTGCTTTAGTGTGACTTCGTTTAAATAATGTCCAAACAAGCTGGCTGTTGTTGAAATTTTGCGGTCAAGTCATGTGCTGGAATTTCTGGAGAATGTTGCCATTTCGCTCGAATAACTAATTGGGATCCATATTCATTTCCAGCGCGCCAATAAAATCTTAGTGGTATTTGTGTGCAGAAAAATTATCAACTGAAGACGACTATAACCCCGTAATTAAGTAATCTCGTTTTTCGGGTTAAAAACACGGGATTCCGATTAAATTTTTTTCGATTTCCTAATTTTTTTTTCACTAATCCCGAAATATATAAATCCCGTTTTTCGGGATTCAAAATCGGGATTCCGTTTTTATTTATTTTTCAATGCTTTACTTCTAAAAGCTCTAATTATTTAAAATAATTTTCTGAATTTTTATGCCTTGATGTTTCTCACTGATGTCTTACACCTTCATTGTTATCCATTGAATTTCAGCAAATGCATTTCTTTCTTTCCTTACTAAGTCAAAACAATCAAGCCTCATTTCACGCTCTAATAAATTCAGTGATGCTACTTCTTAATGCAATTCATGTCACGCATGATGGTATGCTTTTTAAGTACCAAAAGATAAAAGCCGAAACGGTTTCTCTCTCGATAAAGGCAGGTAAATTAAATTAAAGCAATTTTTGTTAGAGAAAAATATTTTTTATTGATTGATAGAAGCAAGTGCAAAAACAACAATATTTATATGTGAAAATTAGCATTAGGGCGCATATTTTGCTTACCTTTATTTTATTTATTAACAGAGTTGTCACAATGTTACTGTGACTATCGGTTTAAGAGCTGCAATGAAAGGAAGAAAAAAATATTTATTAATAACATATTTAAAAAACTTCAATATTTATTGCTCTTAATTAATTTAAAATAATTTTATCAGCAATTTATTGATATAAATATATAAGAAAATCATATCACATATCCTAAATTTTATTGTAAAAAAATTTTTTTTTAAATAAATAATAAATTTAATTTAATACCTTTTTTTGGAGTTTAATAAAAGTAATTTAAATGATGGAAAACCCAATAAATTCAATTGTAAAAAATTATTGGTATACAATTTTTAATTAAAAATATACAATTTTTAATTAACTACAAAAGTAGTTAAAAAATTAAAATTAAAAAAAATTAAATTTTTTATTGTAATTTTACTGAATAAAATGCAAATTAAAAAACGCAAAACAAAAATGCAAGTTAAAATTTTTAATATAAAATTTTTAATTTTAAATATTTAATTACAAAATAAAAGTATTTAATTAAAAAAAATAATAAAATTTTTGTCTCACACGCATTGTTTGAGCAAAATTTGGCAATATGTATTTGAAACTAATTTATTTTTATATGCTTACTTTTTTACTAAGTCATAATGATGTAAATATATAGTATTAAGCAAAATTTTGACTTCAAAAAACAGAAAAAAATTATGTTAAAAATTTATTAAAAAGCACGTTTCTAAGTATTGTAATATCTTAAAAATTAAAATAATTTTTTTTGCTTTGCTATTGTATCGAAATTTTATAAAAATTATTTTTTTATTTAAAAATTATTATTTTATAAAAATTATTTATGTTATTTTTCAAGTCTTTTACTTTCATTACGCATTCAGAAACTTAACTTTTTTTATTAAAAATTTGTTGTTCCCAAATGTTTGAATACCGGCAATTTTTTTTCAAAAATGTACAAAAAATACTTTTATTTTTAAAGTTGGCACTGTACTGTTAAGTTTTTTAACAATAACATTTTGAAAATTGCCAAAAATTAATTTTGCGCTTTATTTAATTTTTATTTTATTTATCAACACAAATGTAGTCACAAAAAGAAATATTTTTTGACAATAAAGTTTGAAAAATAATAAGAAATAAAATTAGCACTAAAAGTCTAAATTTTCGCTTAATTTTTTTAATTTTTCAAAACTTTTTTATATGCGGTATTTAAATTTTTTTTGCAAAATTCATTTTGTTTAATTCTTCAAATCATCAAAAGTTTTAAACAATTTTTATATTTAATTAAAAATGTTTGTTATAATTTATCATCATGTTCTTATATTTTTGACGTTGTACTGTTTAATTGTTATGTTTTCAAATTTTAATGTATTTTAAAATTTGAAAAAACTTTTTTATTAAAATGGACAAAAAATTTTTTTTTTATTAAACAATATTATTTAGAAAAATTAAATATGAAACAAATTTTCGTTTTATTTAAAGAAAAGAATTAAACTTTATTAAAATTTTTTTATTTTTAATTTCCGCGAAATTGTTATTGGCATATTTTGTAATATTAATTAGAATTTAATGTTTTTTTAATTACAATTCAAAAAAGATATTTCCTTTACATACATTATTGTAATATTTTTCGTATAACATTGCAAATTATTGAAAATATTTTTTGTTTTATTTTCTTACTGCTTTTGAAAGCAGTTAAGAATTTTTTTATTATTTATAGTTAAGAAATCAAAATATTTGAAAATTTTCAATAAACATTTTTTTTGTAACATTAAAAATTAATATGTAATATTAAAAAAAATATAAAAAAATGCCAACCAAATTATGTAAAATTCCCTTCAATATTTTTAATATATAAAGTTGAAACAAAAAGTGTTATTTATTCAAGAAAGTCTTTTTAGTTCTCTCAATCCGCGAATTTGCGCTTTGGACAACCAAAATGTGGCTATGGTAATGTTTCCGCTGACCCCAGACTGATCTCTCAACAATTTTAGGAGCTGCTTACAGCTTGCCACAAAGCTGCATAATACTGCACATACACACATAGCAATACACACAAGCATACAGCGCTGCCGGCTTTCAACTTCTTGCGCATCTGCGTTGATTTGTGAGTTTATTGCATAGCATTGCTTTTATACGCGCTGCGGTTCATTGAACGCTGGCTTAGAATAAAGGTAGCAATAAATGCCGAAGGTATCACTGCGCAGTTGCTGTAATGGCAGTTAGTGGCATAAAAAAGACAAATAAAAATAGAAAAAAATAAAAAAAAAATGAGAAAAAGGTCGCGTCGGCATGGTAAACTGCTGCAAACAGCAGCTAAATATTTTATATTTATTTTTCGTTTTTTTTTCTTTTTGCAACGATCGCCTTGCAATTTTATCTGTTTTTCCAAGGAATTTCGTGCGCTGCAAAGCCACAGACACTCATACACGAGTTTGTATATATGTTTTGTGTGGCAGCAAGCATGGCCTCACCCACCGCCACAGTCATGGCCAGCATTGCTGTGAGTACCACTACAACAATAACAACAAAAAAGTGAAGCAACAAGAACTGCTAGCGTCTATTTGCGCCTTTGCGGCTATGCAGCGATCGCGCGCGTTTGTGAGGGACCCTGAATTGCTGCACTCGCCAGCAACCAACGTCGACAATGCAACGTCCATTTGCCTGGTATTAGATGAAAATCTGCAGTTGCAAAGGAAAAGCGTTGAGAATGGCAAATATAGTGAGGCGAAAAAAACCAACACGCCCTAACACTGCCAGGCAAGCACAAAATAGAAACAAATAAAGTAAAATAAAATGAAATAAGGAGAAAAAAAATTTAATAAAAAAAGTTTAGTTTAAAGATAAAAAAATATTAAAATTGCTGTTGTTGTCGGTCAGCTTGGGAGCGATTTCTACTAAATTGCCAAGTTTATGGCATTGTTGGGCTGCGCTCTAGCTGTTGGTGGCGGCTGGCAGCAGCAGATAAGATTTGGGGCGTGTTGGCGATGCGCGTTTTTATGGTGAAAATTTTCCACGAAAAAATGCCAAAGTCAAAAGCAACATGGAAAGTGTAGCTGCAGACACATACAAGCACACATATACATATGCAAGCGCATATAACTATGTATGCAATCGTTTGAGTCAAATAAAAGTGTGATTTAGAACAGGTGAGTTGGCAAGTTCGTTGCTTAAGTCTTTTGTCTTGGGTTGAAGGGGTAATATTTTGACTAGTCACCAGCAAGCGCATAAGAGTATGCAAATACGGGAGTGATATGTAATGCGATAGCGGTAGATGAAGTGTGATTTGTTTATGCGTTGTGGACTACAATAACAAAGAAAGTTTAGAGGACTCAAGTGAATATGCGATGCACTTGAAAAATAATTTTTCCAATATTGTGTTTTTTTTTTTTTTTAATTGATATCAGCGTAAAAGACATTAACACTATTATTTTAAAAGAGTTTTTACCTTAAATTATTTGTAAATAAGAGTTGCCAACTAATTTCGATATGAAATACTTAACAACAAATTTTTACTTTTTGAATTAAAAATAATCCAAAAATATAAATTTTTTAATATAAATAAAAGAGATTTATGTGTCAAGGTTGCCATATTCTTTTATAAATATTTAAAATACATATATTAAAATTTGAAAAATATATGAATGTTGTGAACTATTTTTTCTAAATATATGAAAAATATTTAATACAAAATATCAGGATTGCCATCTTTTTTTATAAATATTTGAAAAGAAATAGAGTAAATTAAAAAGCTCAACGTGCTCAAGGGCTCAAAACTAAGAAAAAAATATTACAGAAATATTCAATAAAAACTAAGAAAATATTTCAAGATTGCCACCTCTTTTTTGTATAATTTTTTCAAAAATATTAAATAAAAAATAATCATGTTGGAGAACTATTTTTTTGTATTTATTTGTAAAATATTATATAATATAAATTTTTATTTAATATATCAAGGTTGCCACCTCTTCTTTTTATAAATATTTGAAAAATTTATCTTATAATTACAAGTAATTTAAATTGTAACACGTCATTTATAGTTTTTTGTAAAAAATAAAAATTATGCATGTAAAGAGTTGCCAAATAATTTCAAATTTATTTAGTTAAATTTAAGCAAATAAATTTTTGAACATATTAAAAAATCATAAATGCAGAACGTCACTAAAAATGTAAATTTTTGGAACAGGGTTACCAACTTATTTCCATGAAAAGCGATCATTCTTTAAAATGATTGTTTAAGCGATTTTTGGGATAGGGTTCCCAAATAATTAAAAAAAAATGTAGTAAATTGCACTGCAACAATCCTATAAAAATTATCAAAAATGCAGTATAGGGTTGTCAAGTCATTCTGAATCGAAAGTATATTTTATAATTTTTGGACAGACTTTTTGTAAGAGCTTACATAAATGGTAAAAATACGTACATATATAAGAAATAAAACAGAGTAAACAGGCTTACCGATTTTAAATAGCACCGATTGTTACATTTTTTGATTAAACATTTAAAACGAACATAAAAGTTAATTGCATTTTTAAAATAATTACATTTTTAATTTATTTTCATAAAAAATTTTCATCAAAAAAATGTTTATTTTCTTTATTCTAAGAAAATTTGAGATTTCTACTAAAACAACAATGTTACATTTTAAGTGTAAAAATAAAAACAAAATAAAATAATTTCATCTCGTTTCAAGCAACATTCTTCGGCCGACAGTCGTTCAACTCCTGCTACAATTGCTGCAGCCATAAATTTTATTTATGCGCTCGCCGACTTGACTACTTTATGCTTCATTGGTGTCATAAACAACGCCGTGGCTTGTTAAAATATTTCTAACAACAACGGAAACAACAACTGCACAAACACAACAACACAAAATGGTAACAATGCTCTCAAATGGATTACTTGTTGCAACAACAAAAAACAACAAAAACCACTACAATAGTAGTAAATACGCTGTCTAACTGCACTGCTGAGCACTCGCACGCCGCTGGGCAAAGCGTCGTCGATACTTTCACACACACACACACACACATACATGTGGCTATATACATATATTAAGCTATG